ACTTATTTGTTTTTAAGCATGTCCTTATTAGTCATTTAATGTTAGATAACAACCGCTAACTATTGTATAACAAAACAGTTATATTTATCAAATCCGCTATTTACCATCCGCTACCAACTTTCTGCTATCCACCATCCGCTATCTGATATCCGCTAACCGCCACCTGCTACCCGCTACCACTATTCGCTATTCGCTACCTGTTATCCGCTATCCGCTGAATTTTAACCATTATACCAAACAGGCCCTAAAACTAATTGTGCCGTTAAGGCACCACAAGAAAAGATCAAAATCATTTCATTTTTAATTTAAAAATAAGTTAGTCTTTTAAAAAAAATTTATTGAAATAAGTTAATTTTTGAATATTTTTTAATTTTTTAAAAATTTAACTGAGAAATACCTTTCTTAACAGATTTTACATATATTTAAAATATTAAAAACTGAAAAAAAAAAATAGTATTCTCGTCCCAAAATAATACTAGTTATTTTTTTATATTTTAAGGGAGAGATAGTAATATAGATAGAATTTTTTTACTAAACTTTTTTACATAACTTCTACATGTTATTAAATAAATGAATGCTCTTAATATTATGAGTTTTAAATAAATTAAAAAATTAATTATTTAAATGATATATAAAGTTATATTAAAAGATGATAAAAAAATTATTTCTAAATCATTTTTCATTGAAAGAAACAAATATTTCTTTTTATTTTAACCATATCATTATTTTTTATTTTAATTATTCATTTTATTATAAAAAAATTTTATTTTTATTTATTTTTAAAAAATAATATAGATAATAAATTATCTTTAAATTTTTAATATAAAAATAAAAATTTAAAAATATGTATTATTAAAAAAAAAAAAAAAAAAGTACTACAACTACGAATCAACATTCTAAGATATGGTCATGCCCCATAGATGGGAAAAAGGCTTTTCGCTAAAATTACGTCAAAGATTCAGCATAGAAATTATGTGATTAGTTATTAATTAAGTCTATTTTTCTCTTTCATTCTTGATCACTCGAATTCCCGTGATTAATGCGTAACTGGAAGTCTTTATGGTCTTTTACTCTTTAGTGTTACCTCCACCTCAAATTAATTGCTTGTAGATGATTGCAAGTAATATTTTTTATGTAATATATGACTTGTAATTACATTTTTTTACTTTGTACTTAATGTTTTGGAATAATTTTGTTTGTAGTTATATATATAATGTGTTTGGTTTAAAATTTGTTATTTATATAAGTTATTATTATTATTTGTGTGATTTATTTTACTTATAA